CCCTGCTGCCGACGAAAGGCCGCGCAGAGCTGAGGCGCAGGCCTCGGGAAGCGAGTAACCGTGCAGCTGCGCGGCCGAGGCGCCACTGAGGAGCGGCCGCTCATCCTCCCGAGGCAGCGGGCAGTGCTCGTGCCTTTGAAAGGGACAGACTTGCCCTCGCTGGTTTGGCTCAGTGGATGGAGCGTCGGCCTGCGGACTAAAGGGTCCGGTCCCGGGTTCAATTCCAGTCAAGGGCACATGCCCAGGTTGCAGGCTTGATCCCCATAGGGGGTGGGCAGGAGGCAGCCGATCAACGATTCTCTCATCACTGATGTTTCTCTCTCCTTCTCCCTTCCTCCCTGAAATCAATACAAATATATTTTAAAAAAGGGGGGGGGGCACAGACTTGCTGGCTTATGTTCCCTTTACATGAGGCCTGGTCTTGCTTCCGTGTGAGGTTATACAAGTTCAACTTGACCCCATCGTTTAGAATATGGAAGAAGCATTTCTGCTTGGGCTCACACTGAAGTAACAGAAAGGCACTGTTATCTCACTTTCAATTTATTTCCCTGCAAATATACACACGACGAGGCCAATGCTACGCTGGCAGGAGTTCCTGTCATGGACACGTCCGGGGGCTGTCGGGTGGTTGACGCACGTGCCGCAGAGGCCTCTGAGCAAGTCATGGTGCCGGCGTCCAGGCGACACTGCCCAGAGGCCGGAGCAGCCCCTCGCGCTCTCGGCACCTGCACCCCCCCATCCTGCTGTTCCACTTGCATCTCCAACCCCTTCCTCCCGCCCCTTTAACAGACACTCGGCAAGTCCAGCGGCCCCAGGGGTCCTGTAGGAATCACTCGCACAAACACGACAGGAGCTCCCGCTGCAGGCCGAGGCTGGAGGGGCCAGAGGGGCCTGAGTGGCCGCACACCAGCCTGCGGCCCAGCACCCGCCGCACAGGCTCCTTCCTGAGGCAACACGCCCTTCCATGCGCTGGAGACAGAAGTCTGGTGAACAGTGAGCTTGCGGGGTGTGACCTGGGGCCCGCGCCAGGAAGCGGGCCGATGCCTGCCTCTTGCTGATTAAACAGCACCAACGACACCAGGGTGAGCGCCGGGCCGGCCAGAGCTCGTGCCGGGACGTCTCTCCACACGTGGGTGCCGACCGCTGACAGGCCTCCTGACACTGTGTCTGGTGCACAGCGAACATCAGTGCTCATTTCTGATCCTAAGGTCACTCAGCAAACCGCACGCCCTTCCCACAGCCTTTATTCACGGCCTGTGGGGGAGCCAGAGCCTCAGCAGGCTCACGAGGCCCTGGCACGTTGTAAAGCCACCAGGAGAGCGGGCAGGGGTCCAAGGCACGGTGTCACCGAGGAGGAA